TTATGAATAAAGATGTTACCTTATGTTAATGAAAAAAGCTGTGCATACAGCAAAAAAATAATAGGAATTCACTCATGAATTCAAATTTCACTCACATGGGGTGGGACCCATGTGAATTAAAATATTGGCAAAAAACCCCACCCAACCAACCCTACTGTGTGCGTTCTGGCATATACATGAATTTGAATTCATGTACCTGTAGCATGTCTCATTGAATAATACTGGTAACGAAATTTGGACTTGCTGTCTAATCAAGCTTTACATTTTTTATATTGAGATTTACTCTAGGCTCACTCAAGCTTGCATATATCAAGACTTATATTTCATTTTAAAATGTCATCATTATTAAAAAAGAGTTTATATGTTGGTCTATATTTTAGTACGGGTTTTGCTGCTTTACCAGGGCCACACCGACGATGGCTGGCCATTGAAATTACCAAGGCCGATGTGGCCCTGGTAAAGCAGTATAATTGTTTTAGTGTTTGATCGATGTGAGATTTATCTCTTAAAATACAACTACAAGATTGTGACTCTTTTGAGCAAATCAATTTTAAATTGCGTGTACTTATTTTTTTTTTTAAATTTTAATCGAATCGAATTGCTCATTGGGACTTAATGAACTATGGTACCATAATAATATTTGGAATCCCATATTAAAATGACAATATTAATAAGAGTAGTTTAAACCCATATATGTTAATCTGTATTTTCATCTTTTTTCGACATAAGATTTATCCATTAATAGTGTAATCTTGAAACCTTGATATTGTCACATAACTACGTTTTATATTTTTAGAACTAGATTAATACGAGTTTAAAAGATTGAAGCACTGAATAAAAATAAAACTTGAGCTAGAGATGACTAATTGTATACACAATAATCAATATAGATTTATTTATTTAAAATTTATCTTCACATGTTGGATGGGATTCAAAAGGTAAGCTTAGTGTTCCTTCAAATGAAGACGATATATGGGAATAAACACACTCAATGAAACATGAGAAACCCTTAGACATAAAACCGGAATTTCCTTTAGTGCTTATATAGTAAGATTAATTGTATAGCACTAATCTTACCTATTATATTTTCCGATTCCAAACCTGAGTCACATCCTTAAAGTGATAGCATCGAAACAAAGTGCAAACTCTCTTCCTCGTCGTCCAAGATTCGTGCATGTCTTCTTCGAGTTATCCTCTCGCAAACTAGCCGAAGAACTCGCTCCCACCTCGCACCATTCCCATCAGAATTAGAGGTTATCTCACCCATCTGAAAGAAGAAAAGCCTCAAGTCTTGTACTATGTCAGTGCAGAATTCTTGTACGGGCCTGAGACTGAGGGAAACTTTAAGCAAAAACGGCAATAGCAAGGTGGTCACCACCGGAGTCAGGCTGCCGTGAGAGGTGGCGGTAAGGCTGAGCTTTGCTAGCGCCAACAACTGCAACCCCATGTTCCGCGGCAGAGAAGAAACCACAGAAATGAGAGAATATATTAGTACACTAGGTTTTAAGCCAAGGACTTCCGTGGGACATTTTTGTGTTGAAATAGAAAAGATGCTTGAAAAATCTTAGTTTTTCTTTTCTTTTTTTCTTTTTATAAAAAAGTTTTCATTGGTGCATGTTTGGCTAAGCTTAAAAAATTATTACTATAGTCTATAAGCATGTTTACTCACAAGTAAAATTGTAAAATTAATTATTTTTTCGGCTAAAATTAGAAATCAGTACCTTAAATTTTGACAAATTTTGATATATTGATTTTAACAACACTTTTTTTCAATCAATTGTCGGATATTTTACACATTAAGCTTGTGTTTGAATATAATTTTGAGGAGAATAGAAATTTTGGAATAGTGATTGATGTGAGAATGTTTGTAATATTATTTTATTTGAAAAATGTGTGGTGGAAATTAAGAATGAGAATGAGAAATTAACGGATGTCAAACGGGGGCGAATAGGTTTCATCAAGGTGTACACTTTGTATGTATAAGTAATTTAATCCCAGTAAAAAAACATTTAAAAGCAAAAATTTACTCAAAAGTAAGTTTGATTTTATTTTAAACTTAACCGAGCATACTCTAGGTCTAAAATGCTAGATTATTATGTTTTAAGAACCATTAGAATTATAGAGTAGTTTGACATAATATAGTAACAAAAAATTAATTAATTTAGTAGGTACTAAAAAAATAAAGATGCTTACATTATTTCAATATAATTAAAATTTAATGCAAATTAATTAACTACATAACCCACTATTTATGGAGGCATCAACAGTCGCTTCTATCACCTTCGGGCCCTTACGTACTTGTACGTTTCATGATGTCTTTGCTATGCGTGACTGCTGATGTGTGAAATGATTCAGCCAAAATTTACCAAGATATTTTTTTTAGAATAAATTTTGTAAAAAATTATTATTATTATTATTATTATTATTATTATTATTTTGGAGAATATAAGATTAAAAAGTAAGAATTTTTTTTGAATTTATATGCAAAATTTTAAAAAATATTTATTAAAAAAAAGGAATTTTATAAAATGAAGACCAAGGATGGAGTAAGAAGTAAACTTTTCTGTAATTCATATTTCTTGTTATCTTATCAAGATGGCTTCACCCTTGCACGAAGACAAATAGGGGTCATACTTCTGTAGGAAATTTCCTCGAACCTTCATTTGAATATTTTATTGGAATTTTGTGTGGACGTCTATCTAAACTTGAAAGAATGGACAGAGAGTTAGAAATCATGGGACACACATTTTGCAAGTGTTACTGATTTCCTATATTGTCGGGTCGAATATTAATATACAATTTATTTTTTTGAAATAATATAAGATTAATGAAAACAAGTCAATATGCAAATATAATTGTAGTTTATGCATTTTCGTACCAAAACAATCCTTCATATAAAATACTACTTTCAACGACACCCTCATCTTCTCAATCACATTCAACCCTCAAAATCATACAAAATCAATTATATAGTACAGAAAAAAGAAAAAAAGGCACTTATTAATTTCTATCAAATATCGTATATGACGAACGAAATCGAACATTAGACATCCAAAGGCTGCGAGGATCCAACACGTAAACCGTGATCTTAGGCTTGAAAACTCCACCGTTGCTCGTGATTTTTAGTTCTCCAAAATGTCTGAAAAGAATTTAGAAACTACAAAGATTCTTCTATGTTTTCTTTCTATTTCTTTACCACTAAATTCATATTTGAAAAACTTCTAAAGTCAAAACTCAATAATTCATTTCACTAACAAATGGATAATGAGATAAACTAATAAAAGGGACGCTCATGGAGTGTAACCATGAAACCTACATTTGAACAAAAAAATAAAAATAAAGAAGCAACTATAGAATTTTAAGAAACAAAAAAAGTCAGAAAATTTTGTGGGGTCACTTGACCCCACATGACCCCATGTGGTTCCGCCCATGGTTATGAGCGTTAAAGATAAGTACAATAGTCCATCATAAAGATTATAAGTCAGTTCAAAATCATAAAGATTATACTTCTGTAGGAAATTTCCTGGAACCTTCATTCGAATATTTCCTCTCCTAAGTTTACGTTCAACCCAGTTTTCAAAACATTAGGTAAAACTCGAAGATTAGATTTTTATATAAGAAAAATAAAATGATATTAGAGAGGATACATGTCATGAACTCTTGTTTTGGAGCCATTTTCATTTGCCCGAATACTTGCATCAGCATCATATCATCTAATGCGTTAATTGATCGCATGGTGTAGTAGAATGTATTGAGTTTGTCTTATACTCTNCATGTCATGAACTCTTGTTTTGGTGTCATTTTCATTTGCCCGAATACTTGAATCAGACTCTTATCATCTAATGCATTAACAGATTGCATGGTGTAGGAGAATGTATTGAGTTTGTCATTTTCTCTTTATTAAACAAAACTCAACAAATGGGACCAAAAAAAGGGTCCAATTTGAAGGAGCCTTTGAGCTCTTCCTAACAGACTGAAAATAAGGCATGTCAGTATTTATTTGAGAAAGACAGAGGATTTTATTGGAGATCTCGAAAGTCTTCCTTAAAATCGTTATCGATTCTTATAACATTTTTTCCCGAGTCTTCAATTTTTTTTATCCAAATAAGATCAAATACTCATCCCAAGTATCTAATTCTTTACGACAAATATGAACTAATTTAATAATTTTTAATAGACACGTGATTTGTTAAAACATAAATTTAAGGGAACAATTCGCGAATACATTAAAAATGGTTATTAAGGAAAATTAGCACATAATGTCCTCATCTTTCACTATTTTTGTAGAATACGCCATTACTTTTCATTTTTCACATTTTCAACGAATATGAAAATAACTTTTTATGCAATGAAATGTGGCAATAAGGGTGAAAATATCAAAAAAATGAAAGATAATGATGTTTTTCACAGTAATAGTGAAATATAAGGACTTTATGTGCTAATTACACATTTATTATTATTTCCATACTTACTTTAAACCTTTTTTATTTTGCAAAATAATTATTTTTATCATTTTTTATTTAAGGGACCAAAATCCAATTGTTGACTGTTTCGTCAACCTTAATCATGGGTGGACGCATTTTGCTTAAGCCCGCTTTAGAGTGAGGCAAACATCAAACCCCCTCAAAGGCACTGATGGTGAGACGGTGAGGTGCATGCTTCAGTTTAGCAAGTCACTCCTTCGAGTCATGCTACATGTATAAAGTTAAGTTATAAAATTAGTTTACAAAATACGTGTTGGCAACATCTTGGTCAATGATTTAAAAAACAGTTTTTGAAATCAATGACTTAAATCCTGCCTCATCATTTTGTCAACAAGCTTTTGTAAACCACTTTTGTATGAGTAGTATAATTGCACTCCTTAAGGTTTGTGGACGTGCACTCCTTAATTTTTCGGACTTATTTACTCCGTTTTAAGCGTCGGCCCACAAAACATTAAACGACGGATTGACTTACTTTGGAAACCAACATTCATTACCAAAACTTTAAGCCCCTTTTTTACAATCGTTAGTGGAGTAAAATGAAGTTTTGAATAATGATTTTTTCAAAAACGTGTGATTAAAATGTAGAGAATTTTTTTTTGTTCACGTGCACAATATTTTATTGCTTGAATATTGTGTAGTTGAAAATGAATATAAAGAAAAAAAGAGTCTAGAAATAATTGTTATCAAACAGGGGCTAAAAAATTGTAAATATTTTCTGATCAACACACTAATTTACTAAAATATTAAAAGATTGTGTATCTTAGGGACCCATTGGGAAAGTTAGCTCTCCCTTCAACTAAAGTAATAACAGTTTTTTTTTATCGATAAAAAAAAATAGTTTACTTTTTGTCAACGTATAGATTTTTTGTTTGTTCCCACACTTTAAATTTTTCTATTATGAATTTTTAAGTTTATTTTTTTATTTATTTTGCATTTTAATAATATTTTGACATTTTTTTGTTGTCGGTGAAGCTTACGACTCAAAATGCCTCGATGCTTGTGCTTTGCATGATTACGCCGTTTTAGGGGGTGTTTGGTGCATGTTATGGAGAAGAAAATGTATTTTTTGATGTGATGTAATGGAAAATATGTGGTTAAAAAATATGATTTTTTTAAATTTACGCGTAATATTGTTTTATTAAAGAACGTGTGGTTGAAAATAAATTTTGAAAGAATGATTTTTTTTAAAATGCGTATCTAACAGGGGCTTAAACACATCGAGCTACTCAGCCTCGTTCATCTAATTGGACCACCACTGGATTTTGTTAAACCTGATTGTAGTAATTTTGTTCAATTGCACACGGCTCCGTTCTTGTTCACATCACGACTTGTCTCCATTGATTATGTGCAGGGCCGACCCTGAGAATTTAGAAGCCCTAGGCGACTAATTATTATGA